AAAAAAAAAACACTCTTACCCAAAAGGCTTCTATGCTCGTCCTGCGACGAGGTATGTCACTGGAGCTCTGAAAGGAATGTGAGCGAGAGTTCTCACCCTCCAAGCATCCCATCAACCCATGCCATATAGAACATATGAACATGCCGCAAAGAAACTTGCGAAACATGTTGAGATTGGAATAATCATGGCGAGAACCTTAGCTTTTTAGGATAGGGAGCCTTAGGGAATCTAAGGGGGTACTAGGGAGACTTGGGGATTACTGGGTTATATACCCCCCTTAGAACCCCCTCCCTTAAGGATTCCATAATTAGCAGAACCCGGCTTGCAGACTTTGACCGCTCGGTGGGCCTGGAGGTTGTACAGCGCGTGCGGACGCAGAGCGACTTTGGGCGACGGCCGTGCCACGGCTCAAATACGAGATGTACCGTTGCCCGGGCGGTAAGCATATTTACATTGAAGCTTCTGCTGGGTGAACGAAAGCAGGGTCCGTTGAAGGATTTTGGGACGCCTTGACTTGAATACGGGACACTGTAGGGGCAAGGGGACTTCGCAGGCAGTGTTTAAAGCAACTACCTACAGGTCAGCTGACATTGAAAAGTGAAACGAACTTTGGCGCAGGGCACTGCGCCACGGTATGTTGCGGGCGTGTGCAGGCTGAGTGCTTGTGCGCATATGTGTATGTGTGTGTGCGTCTGTATGGACGCGGTTTATAGGTCTGCCTCTGATGTTGAAGATGCTCATGAACAGCATGATGATTACTAATAATGGTGGTGATGTGCAGAGATTGTGATCATGGTGGCGAGGCAGGTTCTTACTATTGACATCGTTACTTGTCTATTTGTGGCGCATAGCACTCCCATAACAGACAGTGTTGCTGTCCTGGCTGGGCTATTGCTTTCGAAGCTGTTCAGCATGGAGGCGACGACTGCACGTCGATCAAGCACACTAAGCTCAACCCAGGGCGTCAAGTTTAGGGGTTTAGGTTTTATAGGGATTATAGGGTTTAGGGGTTTGGGGTTTAGGGTTTAGGATTTAGACCACTATCCTTGCTTCCTACGGCTTCTTCTTGATCACGGGACCCCCGCCCCTGCCTTGTTAGAGAGACTGGCATGTTCAGAACTCCCTAAACTTTGAACCCAAAGTCTTAAACTCGTAAGACACCCGCAACTTGATTCTCGGTTAGCTATGTGCAAGCATCGCTTGCTCTATGAACCGGCAGTTGTTGGATAACCTTGGTTCTGACTATTGAATATTGATCGGACCCTATCTACATAGTACGGAACCAATAATTCAATTCGCATCAATCTAATTGGCCAAGCATAGTAGTCAGCCTAGGGCCTATGAGTACAGAGCATACCAAGGGCACAGGGTCACCGCCAGGAATTGGAGCATGATTCCGTTGATCGTCAAGAGCAACGCTGATGCCAGAGCCTCAGTTTCCCTAAGGGTCCAAAGGACCCAATAATTAGGTACTTTGGTTCCGGATAGTAATTATGTAGGTTACTATTGCCCTAAACCCTACACCCTAAACCCTAAACCCTAAACCCTAAACCGTATATGTTATATAGGTTAATATTTGGGAGAGTATATGATTATTTGGTACTTGGACCCTTAACCCTAAACCCTAAACCCTTTGGGTTATAAAGGTGCCCAATACCAAAGAGTATATGATTATTTGGTACTTGGACCCTTAGGGTTTCTCCGTTTTCGGCCGAGGGGTGCATCCCCCAAGCGCTCAACCCTTACGTAAACCGTGAATCTGTAGAGGGGAAAAGGGTTTAGGGTTTAGGGTTTAGGGTTTAGGGTTTAGGGTTTAGAGGGAAAAAGGGTGCTTTAGCAGAAACCTTAAACCCTAAGCCCTAAACCGCGCTTCGAGGATGTGAGACAAGAAGAGCTCGCCTACCGCCTGCTCAAGTGGTTCGAGAGGGTGTTTAGAAAGTCATGCCGGCCTGTACTGGATTTGCCAGTGCTCATCGCAACGGTTTATGGTTTAGAACTTGCGATTTAGGGTTTAGGGTCTAGGGTGTAGGGTTAGGTCGCAACGGTTTATGGTTTAGAACTTGGGATCTAAAATTTAGGGTTTAGGATCTAGGGTGTAGGGTTTAGGGCAATCTGCCTAACCTGTTCTAAACACAAGCCGCAAAACAAGCCGATTTTCGCATAAGCTACATGGGAGTTTCCGAAAACAAGGGGTACCTTATTTTGGGGTCCTGATAATAAGGATCCTACTATTTAGGGTACTATATTAGGGCCCCCTGTTTTCGAAAACACCCACATGAAACATATTGAAACATCAGCTTCCAACCTCTAAACCCCGAACCCCTCGACCCTCATCCCTACGGCCTAAACCCCGATAGGCCCTGAAACCTTACATCCTAGCACACCCAAAAACGAAACCCTAGGCCCCTAAACCCTGTCAAACCTCACACCGTAAAATCGACGGGGACAATCCAAAACACCCTAGATCCCCCCCTACACACACTAAAACCTACAGCCCGAAACCGAAACCCTAAACTCCGATAAGCCCGGAAGCCTCATGCCCGAAGCCAGCCAGGCACAATCCAAAACTCTGGCTGCAGCCGTTCCTCATCATCGCGACGACCCACGACGGGGGAGTTCTGGAGGTCAGCCGCGGCCTAGGGGTCGGAACAGGTTGTCATCGTATCCCCGTGTTGCACCTTTACAGCAATTACTATACTATACTGTACTATGCTATACTTTAGCGCAACAGTCAGTTCCAATGGTTAAAGCCACCGAATTATACATCGGGGTTGCTATGCGGTCACTGTTCGTCGGATTTCTCAAGCTGTAGTCGCCCACTCAAAGCCTTAAACCCTAACCCCTACACCCTGAACCCTAAACCAAGTTTTTGTGTGAGACCCAGGGTGAATAAACGTGAGATCCCAAACCCAGAACCTCAGTACTCCATAGTTAACTCCTAAACTCCTAAACCCTGTGCCGACACCCTCAATTCCTCAGCCCTATCCCTGAGCCTTAAACTCCTACACCCAGTCCCTAAATCTACAAGCCTTAACCTCCTAAACCCTATCCCCAGACCCTAAATTGCAGAACCCTATCTCTAAACCTTAAACTCCTAAACCTGCAAATCCGAATCCCTAAAACACCCAAACTCCTAAACCCTATCCCAGGCAAGAGATAGCCCTACCTCTCAGCGTTTAGTGCTTTGCATCTAGGATTCAGGGTGTTGGGTTTGATCCTCTTTTACGTATAATGTTAGTGAGCCCTATGAACTAGATGATGCGATGGAGTGTGCCAGTTGTTATGACTGTTCGAGCCGTTGACCCTAAACTTTAGACCCTAAACCCTGAACCCTTAAATACCCCAAAAGACCCTAAACTTTAGACCCTAAACCCTGCTCCCATACGTGGCTCCGTGGATTCTTTGAGTTACTGATCACGACGGCAGTCAGGCCCCTTTGATATTGCGGCAACAGGTCGTGACGAATGCCATCAGCATCAGCGAGCTCAAGAAGTCGTATGGTCAGAAGTGGGTCTCACTCAAAAGGCCTGGGCTTGTGAGTGGGTTTGGTAGGTTTGGTGTGTTGGGTGAGTGGAGGTTTGCCTTTTCCGACGCGTCCTTGGTATGGGTTTATGTAGCTTGATGCTTGCATTTATCAGCAGTGATCCTGAACCCTAAATGTCTATCACTAGCGCTCCTTTTGCTTCTGCCTCCATCCCCTTGTCCCATTGCTGAGCCGTAAAACTCTCGCTGCCGGCGACCCCACAACCGAAACCCAAATCTCTAAAGACCCAAGTCCCACATTCCCAAACCAAGACCCCACTGCTCTAAACTCTGAAATCTTACACTCTTAATCAGCCAACGAGGTACTTTGAGGACAACTTCACCGCCAGGGTCCCGACAGGTGTGTTTGTGAACGTAAGGTTCAAGTTTTTCTATAGCCTAAACCCCAATCCTGAGTCTGAAACTCTAAGATTCGGGCTTGGGGTTTAGAGCTTATTTCGGGTTTCTGATTGAAGGTTCTGTGTTTTAGGTTTGGCACTGATGAAATTCTGGCCCATAGGGTATCTGTCTATCTATCTCCCAGTCCATATGTATATATACATATATATATATATATATGTACTCGCATACAAGTGTAGGTGCATTGTTTATGGTATAGCTAACAAAATCTAGACCCTGCACACCCTGCAGAATTCAAACCCTCAAAGCCCCAAAACCTCAAAGGACCTCACGACCCCGGGGTTTGGGGTTTCGGGTATTGGGGTTTAGGGTTTAGGTGAGATAACGCCAAAAACCCCAAAGGCCCTGGACATAAAGCCGTGCCTGAACTCACAAGTCCAAAACTAGGTAGGCCTTTGGGATATTTTGTATGTTCCATTGGGCTTTGCGGGATCTTGTCTATCAATAACTTTCAGGGGCTGCAAGGGGCCAACCCAGAATACTAAACCCTAAACCCCAAACCCAAAACCCTCAACCCTAAACCCACAACCCAAAACCCTAAACCCCCTTCTAGGTCCCTAACACCCCCCCCCCCCAACAATCAACGCAACACCATTCTGGAACCCGAAAGGTGCCCTGAAGGATCCTAAGCCCTAAAACTTTTAGGGTTTTAGGGTATATAGGGTCTATAGGGTTTAGGGTTTTAGGGTATAGGGTTTAGGGCTTAGAGTATAGGGTTTTTTTTTAAGGGTATAGGGCTGAGGACTTAGAGTATAGGGTTTTGGTCTTAATATAGGGTTTAGGGTCTTAGGGTATAGAGCTTAGGGCTTAGATAGGGTTTAGGGTTTTAGTGTACAGGGTTTAGGGCCTAGTATAGGATTTAGGGTTTTAGAGTAAAGGGTTTATAGAGGGTTTAGGGCTTAGTATAGGGTTTGGGGATTTAGGGTATAAGGTTTAGGGCTTAGAGTATAGGGTTTTTGGTTTTGGGGTACAGAGTTTAGGCTTTTAGGGTATAGGGTTTAGATAGGGTTTTGGGGTATGGGGCCTAGGGTGTAGTGTTCGGGTTTTAGGTTTTCCTCTCTAAACTCTAAACCCTAAACCCTAACCCCCCCTCTAAACTCTAAACCCTAAACCCTAACCCCCCCTCTAAACTCTAAACCCTAAACCCTAAACCCCCTTCTAAACTCTAAACCCTAAACCCTAAACCCTAAACCCTAAACCCTAAACCCTTGTAAGGGAGATGACCGGCCGCACGGATTTGGTAGAGAAAAGCCGGGGGCCCCAGGATGTTTAGGTCCTCCAGGGTTCGCGGCTTCGCTTTTTTGGGCTTCCCTTCCTATAAAACCCAGCATTAATAGGGAAAAAGGGTATCCTTAAGAATTACCTGTGCTGTTGTGGGGGTTCCTTATTATGATTATAGTATAATATACCTCAAAACCCTATTCTACATCAGGGTATTTTGGGCTTAGGGTTTGGTGCTTTGGCAGGGGGTCGTCAGGGCTCGAAAGTCTTTTGGGGGGGTGCTGTTGAGGGCTTTGGGAGATGAGGTGTTTAGGGTGTTTAGGGTTTAGAGTGTAACCCTAAACCCTGTAGATTATGCACGTGTAAAGTGTTGTCCCCCTGCGTACCTGTTTGGAGGACCGTCGCTACAGTGCTCTAGCAAGGGTAAAAGGAACTTTGTTGCCATGGCACAGTGACCTTTGCTATCACTTAACGGTATTATATCAGTGCGTGTGATCTCAGTGGTAATCCCCAACTATAGGTTATCAGCCGTATAGCGGCCTGGTACAACAACTACTTCACTGGTGGACTGTGTATGAGCTCACCTGAACTGGTCCCAGACGATACGCCTAG